CAACAAAACCAGGGTGTGCCTTCAGAACAAATGCCTAATCAATAATCTCCAAATCCTGCCAGATGATTGCATGTACCATATTAGCTCTGGTGCCAACATCTACTCCTAACTGCAGATCAAGGTGTGCCTTTATGATGGTTCTGTTTTCTGGAATTTGTTTACTAAATATGCCACATTATGTCAAGGTCTGCAATGTTTTTTAAAGATTCAAATTTTTCATATCATATGACTTTTGCCAAGAAGTTGTTTTTTCCCCCCTCATATTTTTTACAACTGGTTTCTGCTCCGACAGATGACCACTCCATATCAAGATATACCCTTCCTCTACTCTGTAGCTGCAAAACCTATCTCTTTTACAATATACAATTTCATTTCATCAATGTACTAGTAAATAAACTTCAGCAAAGTTAACCCCACTGTGATAACTCTATGCACAATTGGCATGGCCTAACACAGCTGTGCACTGTAATTTATCACTTGTGTATATTATTCATGCGAGAGATAGCAAAAAGATAAGAATCACATACAGATTTTTCTCTCCCAAGCCAATGAGTGCACCTTTTCCATATCTCTGATCCCACTTGCTGATTGATCTTCTGACCATCCAACTTAAACAGGTAATAGGGGTTATTAAGGGTGTGTGTGGGTGGGGGTGGGGTGGGGGGAAGGTAGGGTAGGGTCATAATTTGTTTTTTTATCTTCACATACTAAGTGATGCATGAGCTACTGACGAAAGTGATGAAATTATGCCATCCAGTCATCTCACTCATTTTACCATATGGAGCTGGAAAGGTGTGTGTGGGGGGGGCTTGGTGACTCTCAAGGGGAGAGTGCATAGTTGATGTTATCTTCAAATTCTATGCATATAACAACCCAACAGACAGTAACAAAGATAAGGCAAGCTGCCATCTGATTCATCCCACTGCAGAGCCATATCATTAAATAATAGAGCAAGGCTTGCTTGGTTTTCCTACAAGTGGAATCAGGTTATGGGATCTCTGACAGCCACTCCCCATACCACTCCTATACCTTGCCCTAGAATTAAATTTGTGCCGAGTGCACTTTAATAAATAGGTTGAGTGTTTGTGAGAGAAGAGTTACCAAAATATATGATACTACAGACATTGTTCTCTTGGAAAGTCTTCTAACCTATTTGTGAATTGTGCCTGTTAACAGTTGTTTTAAGTACCATGACAGGTTTGATAAAATACCTGAGGAACTGGTGGGGTAAATAACTGGCATGTCTAAAGGTATGATAAAAAGATGATCTACCCCCCCCCCCCCACCCCCGTCCCCTATCTCTAGCACGTCACCTCTATCTGTAGATCTCCCACCAGTAGTAAACAGGTGTTACAATAGAAAACAGTCCTTGTGATCAAGGACCATCTGAATACTTCACCATCTTTCATAAGCCAGGGAAGCTACTTTCACCTTTTCATAAAAGCAAGGTGTGAGCTGCATGGCTTGCATTAAGTGTTTCTGTGATTGTTGATATTATTGTGTGGTCACCACAGCACAGTGGGTTGGAATTGATGGCTCTTTAAATGTAACACACCTGGTTAACCAAGGCAAACAATGCTCCTTAATTACTCCCAGTGTTAACAGATATGCTGACCTATCACCTGGGAGTGATCATCAAACTGAATTTCTTTGATCAATGTCAGTTACTTTAGTTATCATCTTCATCATGGCATAATTTAAAGTTGATCAAAGAAAGGGACACCTTTATACTCTCTCAAACTATTTCACAATATAGTTGCTGTGTGTGGATATTTTGATCAAAGGTGAAGGCAATATTGTCATGTTTAGTAATCACTCTCCCCTTTGTCATCTTAATAGCCGTATTTCACAGAACAAAGGGAGAGGGAAGTCATCTTATGTCGTAGCAATTTTTGGCCAAGAGTTATGAAAAGAACAGTTTTCAAACACTGCTATATTGTCATAGCTCTACACTTCTCTTCTTGTTTCATATCTTGGTAACTAACCATTCTTCTATGTCTTTTGATCATCAACCTCAACCAGGATTCATAGCCTTGCAGGAGTGTATCAAAAATGTCCAAATGGCTTTTAGTGGTCTACTGATTTGTTTTTAATACTTCTTTTGTCCGTATAATTGATATTAACTGCAAACAATGCAANTTGATATTAAGTGCAAACAATGCAGCTCAATATCCCTACTGCACACATGCACACTCACACGCAAGCATGCATGCATAAACACAAGCGGGAATTTTTTTTAACTCAAGGTGGTAGAGTCATAGATAAGAGCAACTTTTGAAGTCTTCGCCAAGCTAAATAAACCCCCACAATCTAAAGGACTTCCTCTTTGGCAGATAACTTCTGCCCCTCTTCAAATGTGTCAATATTTGTTGTGATTGGTCATGTGTTGAAATGAAAGTAACTCTGTAATGACTCATCTAGGTGTGAGTGGGTGTGGAGAGAGGGGCCGTAAACACCCCCCACCTCCACCCCCGCCTAACCCCCCCCCCCCACCTCAAAATTTCCATGAGTCGCCCAATCACATATATCCTAATGACACGCATTCTTACAAATTCATATAACAAATGCCCTTCATATATACTGTGGCTTTTCACTCTCAGGGATAAGAAGAATTCTCTGCAACATTTGATTTTATTGAGAGCCAGAATATATCTCCTTCTTGGTCTCCCAGGACGATGTGTAAAATGGAGGAAAACCCTGGATAGTTAGGAGGAAAGGAAATGTCCCATGTCATGTGCGTCTGAGGCAGTTATGAATCATATCCTATTTCCCCCTAGGTCCTCGTGTAAAAACAAAGATGGCAGAAACCCAAAAGTGAGATCATCGGCTGCCATCAGGATTTATCCTTCTCTCGATGAAGTCAGGAAGTTGATAAAGACCTGAAGGATGATGGTGACACCAAACGATACAGACTACTCTTTCTTACTTTGGCTCGTAAAAAAAAATACTGCCAAATGTGCTATATGTACTTTTAAACCTTCAATTTTGTATAATTTACATTTTTTTCAGTCATCAGAAAAGGGTGTTCCACAATTTTACTATCATTTCTCAAGTTCCACTGTGAGAATTTTCATTCAAATTTATAGCAGAAATTTGACTGTGCATGCAAATATTTTCAACAAATATATTTGATAATTTCAAGCAAAAACTTTTGACGTGATGCTGCAGTGATTTCTCCACGTTCTTATTTGTGCCTCTACGAACTTATCTCACTGACTTATCATTTACATTTCCTGCAGCAAGGAAAGGTTATCAGGGAGGAAAACATCTACAAATAAATAAAGCTATCTTTAATATGAAGACATCAGGATCCGAAAAATAAAAAAAAGAAAAAGAAAAAACTCTTGCCTCATGATCAATGCTCCCATTAATGTCTCATAGGATTCTTTCCTATCATGCCTGAATCACAGAAACCCACTCATTCTTGCTAGCATGCCCTTTTCAGGACCACTCTTTTCATCAGGAAGCTCCTGCACATAGAAATCTGTAGTTTTCCGTTTTTTTCATTTTCTTGAAAAAGTTACATGAAGCCATTTCAAAATCCATGCAAGGGCTCTGACAATAATGTTTTGACCCAAACGTGGATATTTAATGTATTTTTAAGGATTCACTATAAATGTCCAGGTCCCTGTGTAATCATTTGTGATAGCTTTGTTTAAATTTATGTTATCTCGACTCTTAAATGTCTATTTTTAGTTTGTCTCAGAAGAGATCTTCCAAAGTTACATCAAAATCAAAGTTGCTTTATTGCCCCATTTTCACGGAGAGGCAGTGAGCTTTCCTTAATGGACTTTTTGCATGCAAATTTAGTTTATTTTCTCATCTCATCATTTAAACCACAACAGCACCTATATCCTACTTTGTATGCTATGCTGCAAGCCAACGACGTAAATACGACAATTTCATGCAACTAATCTCTCTCCAGCGGTGGGTGGGGACGGAAGTTGACTCGGTACTTCAAAGAAACTCTATATTTCACGCTGCCACTTGTTTTGTTGACTGCTGCCATTGATCTGACTTTAGCCCTTATATTTTGTGACCTTTATTTATGTTAATGGACTGGTTTTAATACTTATTTTTTTCTATTCAAAGCAAATTCTGTCTTTAGACGCAGAATTGTTTAAGCCACAATCTCCCTTCATCTAAACTTTATACTTTAAACTTCTATACTCATATATTTATTCCTGCATTTATAACAATTTTTCTGCCTGTACATTCAGTTTGTTTTTCTTTTCTTTTTTTTGAAAACCCCCATTGTATACATAATATCGCTACATGCGCCAGATTTCTAAGATGCGTTTTTTTCCAAAGTGCTATAAAACCAAACCCAAACAATTTAGCAGGTTACAGTTGAACATAACGATGTCATTTAATCCTGAAACCCATTAAGTTAAACCTCACTGGTACTATTAGGAAAATTCATTGTAATAAATCCTTATATGTCAACAAGGAGCTGAGATTATCACAATATCTCTAACACTATCTACTTATGGCAAAAAATTTTGGTAAATCAAAACATCTTACAAAGATAGTTAATGCTGTTAAATATGTGACAAGCTGGTTTTAATCAAGTGATACTGTTTTATCACATTCTAAAATGCTTACCCTCTCGGCTGTGACATTAGAAACACAAGTAACGTACATTCAAGTTTTTTCTACTGTTTTTCAGTTCAGTTAGCCCATGCAATAAGTACAGTTGAAACCAGCTGTGTATTTGTGACATTGATTTTTCATCTCTGCACATGAAAGGAGGCTGTCATGAAAATTGGTTAATTTGTTAGTAGACAAGATATTCTCAAAAAGTTTGTCACAAAAAAAGTTGAAATTTTCAGGATAAACAATTAATTAGGACGATAAGAATCAACTACAATGTCAACTGGATCCAGGCCTCCTAAAATTTTTCAATAATTTGATATTGTCATTATTTCAATATTGCCAGGACTGAGGTCTGTGCTGTAGCACTGCTCTCTAGTTAACAGATAAAGGTTCTTGTTACTTACCAACTTTTGGAGCACCTGGTGACTGAGACTTGTTAACAGACAGATCTACTGGCTCGGTCTGGACCGGCTACAGTGAAAGAAATAAAACACAAACATTAATCAGAGTATGATAACCAATATCCTAAGATATTATGAAATAATACTTTGAAATGCAATAGATAAGACCTGGTCAAATAAGCAAGGATTTCAGTCTCAAATTAGTGAAATTAATGAGCAATATACTGTGACCTTGACTACTCTGACACCTGGCGTTAAAGAATGAAAGGAAAATACCAAGTTACCTTAATGATCATTGCCAAATTATATCATTAATCAATTAACTAATACATGACATTCTTCTCTCCTCTAGCAAAAGTCAACCCACACTTTTATGTTCATCTTTTACGGTTCAAATTTGGGTCCCCTATACTACTGCAATAATAATAACATTATCTGCCATTTATCATTTCATTAGACTTAAATTGGCATCTTTCACTTAACTGAACATCATATTTATCAGTAGTAGATGCCTGTATTTTGATGTTTATTATAGAAAGATAAATGAACTCAAGTTCACAGTGACATTAATATGTGGTTCAATGTCTTGTATGTTTCAGCTCACTTATTCATTACTATGTGTAATTAAAGATTACACAACACTGTCACGTATACATTACCATGTTTTGAAACATTAGGAAATTGCAAACTTCCCCTCTGACAGGACAGAGACAACCCTTTTCATCCCCCCAATCTCATACAGCGCTCAATTAACATAGCAATTAATACCTTCTCTGGCTGTTAGAACTAATTAATGATAAAACAACAAGTACAATTTCAAATCAATTGATTATCGTTCTTCTCATGGTGTAACAGTCACCACCTAGTTCTATTAATATACTGAATACCTAACCAGATACACTGCAGTCTTATCTGGTTTAATTGTCATTTATATGACGGAGGTTGTCCGTGTCAGCCACCTAATCAAGAAGAGATATTCTCTTTATCTGGTCTAAGTATCCCCCCCCCCCCTCGTCTGCCTCTGTATCTCACATTGTAAACTGGACTTAAAGACAAACATACTGATAAACAAATGTGAAGCATGATATTTTAATGATATTTTATTTAAAAATCAACAACATAAGGAAAATTGCAATGCACTTCCAAGTCATTGGAAATTCAAAGTCATTTTAATGAAGGTGATAAAAGTATAGCAATACTAGCAACTATGTTACCCCTGGATGATATTTAAATGTGGCAAAAAAAAAAAAAAATGGGGATAAAAAAGAAACAGAATCCCACTCCCCCCAAGGTTGTATTAGTTAAGTGATAGATTGCCAGAGATAAAAACATTTAAACCTCAAACTTCTCCGCAGTGAAAAGGTGCACAAAGACCAGGCAAACACACCGTGAGGTATTGTTAACAAACGTTGGCCTATTTATCTCAATAACGCTCCACTCTACTTCACTTAGGGAATCAGCTGACAAGGACAGGCTATTTCTAAACATATACAGCGGGAGAAAAATAATGCCGTTTCTCTTTTCTCGCTCCTGTTTTTTTTCCATTTCTTTTGCTCCTAAACCCAGATTTCTATTTTGTAGAAATACCCTGCCTGGCAAATTTGTTCCACTTCTGTGCATGAATTGAAACCATAAAATAGCCCACATCAAAGTCATATGTGACTCATTTCAACCATTCACCCACGCTTCAATGCTATGAGGTAATGAACTGTACTGAAAACAACACACTCCAGGTTTTACTGCCTCTCTGATACAAACATCCTTATAAAGGCCAGGTCTCTGCTAAGCCTTAATACACTTGTTTATGAAAGTTCCTTCCTTGTTACTGACCAAAAATGATATCTGTGTTTTATTCTGTTATCAGACAGTTGACACTTTTGATCTTCCAAGTTCTTGCTTATAGTTTGGCAGAAACAAACTCCCCACCAACTTTAAAAGTTTGCGTCCACTTTAAGTTAACACCTCTCTGTGTTAACATACCTGTATCAAAACCCAGGTGTTTTCATTCCCAATTCCCTGACAGCAGGTAAACTCCACACCTGGTCAGTCCATGTTGTCCCATGTTAAGTGTATGGGTAACCACACTTTGTTTAGAGAACACACAACTTATTAGGAACATCATATACAAACATTCCAATTGATGCCATGAATAAAATAAACAAAAAACAAAAAAAAATCAACTTACATGAAAGTAGTGTTGAGCCCAATATAATGTCCTCCAGTCTGGGGGAGAATAGAGTAGAGGTGAGGGTAAAAAAGGTTCCATGATGCTTAACTTCATCATTTGACCAGGTCTGTATGTTATCAAAGCTATCTAGTATACTGGGTACATACACCACCACTGCCGCAGCTGGCTGGATCCACTGACTTAACTCCACAATACTATAGGTGCTCTACTTTCTCTCTAGAGCTCTACGTCACTTTATGAGGCTCACAAAGAGTCGGTATGGTTAAGTACGCTCTGATACACCCTTAGCCACACCTCTTACCCTAAACGACCAGCCTCACCACACAGACACAGCGGGCGAGTTTAAGACTGGCGTACACGGGGGAGACAGGTAGTATTGTTATCACTTGGCTGCCTCAATTCACTTCCACTTCAGTGGAAAAGCCACAGTTTAAAGGTTAAAGAGACATGATGGTTGAGGACTGTGTGTTTAACGACCATGGCTAGGTAACAAGTACTTGCCTTCCCAGGTCTTTGTTCATCTGTCCAGAGCCACCATGATCAAGATAAACACAGCTTTAAATCCACCAGCGTGACTCATTAAGTAATTAATAGGGCCCCGACTAGGTATAATTGATTTGAAAGTCTCCAGTCCCATAGTGCACCTTGGAGTGTGAGGTTTATTAGAGATGTGAGGTAGAGAGTTTGTTTGTTTGGAAATAGTGACCCTCTGTTTCTGTAATCTTGTTGTTTTTCTCTGCCCACTTTTTTGTGTAGGTGTATTTATCCCTATTACATATGGCAGAGCCAGGAAATATACTGTGTTAACAAAATAACTAAAAATATGTATATAAATACTGGGACTCTTAAATGTGATTTTTTAAATGTTTAATATTTTATACTTACATACAAAAATATGTAACATGTAAAATATGTTGCACAATTCAGTTGTATAAAGCAAATTTTAAAAAGCTGTTTTTTTTACCCCTTTTAGTGGCAAACCAGCTGCCTACTTTTACTATTGTTTTTCAGACTGTCTTTTCATTTTTCAGATGTAGAGCATTCTTATTGTACATATACTTTTCTTAATGAAATAAATATTTAATAAGCTAAAAGCTCCACAGAACAGTAAACCGCAGGGACTAGGTAAGTACACAAATTAGCCAATAATCTATAACAAGTAGTGACATGTGTAAAGAAATAGAAACTGGCTGAGTAATTACCCACAATGACACAGATCAATTAATCAAAACGCCAGCAAGCCACGTCCTGAAAATACAATAAAGGACAACCCCATGCATAAATAATATTACTGGGGATATTAAAAAGTTAGAGCCCAAAGATCTTCCTGTTTTTTTCTTGTCTTTGTTAAGTAAACAAGGACCCTGGACCTGGTTATGGGACAAATAGATGCAGAGCTCCAAGCCTGCTTTTTCTCAGAATTCTCAGGGCATCGTTGTCATTTGCCTGTAGTTCATATCCTGTTATTTCAAACAATTCTGTTCTTGTATGATTTCTGTGTTATAATCATACATTAGGATGATGAAAATTCTCTGTAGCATTTAATTGATTGTATATTTTAAATTTTCACCACGACTTATGAATGAGGTTATATTTTCATCAGAACTAGTTTACCTGTTTGTCTGTATAGATAGACCGTTATTCAGGACAGAAAGAAGTCATAAAAATTTCAACTGAATCCAGGCCTGCTTATATCTGAAATCCCTTTCAGTAATTATTATTTCCTTTGGCAGAGGCCTGGGCTCTTGGGGTGCTGTTTACTTATTTTCTTTTCAAAAAAAAAAATGTTTTTTAAACCTGGATTTTATTGTTGCATTTTCCAATGTTTTCTTAAATTTCAAAGGTCAAATATCCTGTCAAAATTTATTTGGGAAATTGTTGGTTTTGTTGACCTCAGACGCTGTTATCAATGAGGAGATTTAACTTAAATCCTTTTTTTTAACCAACAAGGGGGGGGGGGGGGCTGAGTCATAATCCAAATGACCTCACCAGGTGAAGGACACGGGAATTCACTCTTCTCTCACCTTCTTTCTCCTTAAAACCATTGTATCATCTCTATCCATCGGAATTGTATTTTACAAACCACATTTAAAAGGAACTTACGGAAGGGAAAACACTTGAAAAGGAACAAGTAACATCCTGCTGCTCGTATACTTTCCACTACCAGTGTAACTGTATCGCACACTTTGTGAAAGTGATTGTAAAGGGTATGTTAAACATGGGTTTATCTGTCCACATGGGGCTAGAACAGTGATTTAACTTGCTGGGAACATAACACTAACAACTTTTTTTGAGGCTATACTTGTATTTCCCTTCTTTTTTCTCCTTGCATACACTTATAACATGCACTTAAAAGGAGAAATAATATACTGAAAGGCAATTCTGAGAAACAGAAAAGAAAATCACAATTCCATGTAAAATTGTAAAGAGAAAACAGGGTATTCAAATTAACTGTACTCTTATCTTCTAACAGTTTTAAAAACAAATTTTCATATGAATTAAAAACTAAACTTATCAACCCAGAATGAAGAAAATATCTAATAGTCAATCAGATTTAACATCTGATTGTCATTCTAGTTTTCAAATTCATGATTAAATTCAACATAGCAAAAAAAAAAAAAAAAAAAAAAAAAAAAAAAAAAAAAAAAAATATCCTTTCCACTTCTCATCGATACATTTTTACCACGTTTAACTAGTAATTTTTTGCAGTGGTAACAAACACAGAACACATTTGATGAGATTATAGTCAGATATACCAAATATATAGAGGTATTTTCTGCAATCTTCCCCAAATAATGTCTCACCAAGGACAATTTTTTTCATTTTTTATTCATTTATTTCCAATTGAAAGCAAATGATATTACGATGTCACCCAGTGCAGC